GAAAAGGAAGATGGGGGCAGGGGAGGGGTGTTCTAGGATGAAAGCAAGTGCTGTGATGCTGCGCACAGGAAAAGAAGATGTTAAAACAAGATACTCTCTTATGGCTGTAGTTGTCTTGAGACTATTTCACAGATTGAGACTAGATAAGTAGTGGGGATGAGTAGAGCTGGGTGGTAATTGGCAGGGATAAACATGTTTTGACACCTGCCTGATACTGCCACGCCTTTAGCTCACACTAATGTCAGACTAGAGGGTTTTTTTTTTTGTACAAGTGCTAATGCACATGCATTAACAAGAGGGAGTAAAATGATATGTTTCTATGCATCTGTGTGTACATATGTGGATAGTGGTGTTAAAATGATATGTTTCTATGCATCTGTGCACCTGTGTGTACATATGTGGATAGTGGTGAGAGGCAGAGGAGAATCATTTGGAGAATATAGTCATCCAATCTTGAAATAACTACTAGACTATAGGCCAGAGCATGAGGAGATCTGATAGAGATAACAGAACCTCTCATAGAAGTAGTTCCATAATGACCCCTTCCTTACACCAGCATTGTACATTTATGAAAGGGATGTTGTGGAGGGTTTGGGGGCCAGGGGATGGACTTGCTGGCAAGTTTTCCTTTTTTCTTGTTGAAGAGTTCTGTCAAAATACTTAACTTTGCTGTGGATTGCCGCCACAGGTTGTTGGCTTGGAAACAGTAAAAATGAATTATATCCATGCCACATGAGAGGAGTTTGTTATTGCTTTTATTTTTTCTTGACCTTTTTTCAGTGCTATAGTCATTACTGAAGTCCTATATTGAGGGTTCATCATTCAACTTTCTTTCTCTTTAATGCATGTACTCATGTCAGAGAACAGAGCCCTTGTCTTTTGGATCTTGATTTAAACACTGCCTTAAAGTTGCATAGTTGTGAAAGGCCAGCTGCACTGCTTGGTTACCCCAACACTATGTGCTCTATATGCAAGTTCCTGCACAAAGCTCAGACTGTATTCCAGCTTCTTTCTTTCCTTGTGTGAGGATGAGCCTGCGGGCTTTAGCTATCCCGCACTGATGAAAAGGAAAAGAAAAAAGCAAATGTAAACTAAAATCAAAGGCTTTATTATAAGAAAATTCATGAGGCACTGACCTATTAGGTCAAATTTTCAAGTTTGTTTGTTTTTTTTTATTCCTTTCTTTGGGTTAGAGTATCTGCAAATCATTGTGGATATCTTTTTAACAAAATCATACACTATGGATGCTTTAATGATTGGTTTACTGGTAATACGTAAGCAAGCATTCTCATCTTGCAATGCTCTGCATTTCATAGCTGGAGAAACTTTGTCACTCCTGTCAGCAGGATGCAGAACGGTGATGATTAGGAATGTAGGTGTCCACAGTCTCAGTTTATCGCTGAATATTGAGTCGATTCAAGACTCAAGATCTTTACTGTCATATGCACAGTAAGACAGTATTGTTATACTATACAATTAAATTCTTAATTTGCCAGTCTCCCTTCGATAAAAGATAAAATCGGAAAATAAAAACTGAATTTGATACTCAAATCATCAAGACAGTTAACAGTTGCTTGGCAACATAGGTGAAAATAATCCCAAAGCCATCACCAGATTTTAATTAAAAAAATTAAATCCTAATTGGAGCACTCTGGTTAAATGACATCTCCTTTTTCCAACTGCGAGCTGCACTTCAAACAAATAGAAATAAATGCTAAACTCTCATGTGAAACAGCCAAAACTGTTCTAACTTAAGCAGAAATACTTTGTTCGTGTAGCACTCCATTAGCACTTAGTAAGAAAATGACTGAGACAATCTGTTTTTAGGGCCTTTAAAGCTTTATTGCCCATATACTGGAAAATAAAAAGTACTGAGGCGTCTCTTTCTTCACTGAACTGGTGCTCTACAATGACAGACGTGCCTCTAATTAACATGACTGTATTTAGACACCTTTTATTTTGAGAGTAGATATGTTAAAAAAAAACTTTGTTTCTCATGGTGTTATGTTGTTTGTTCCCCATTGCTGCTGAAACACTGACATTTCCCCATTGAGGGATCAATAAAGTACCTACCTACCTACCTACCTAAGGTAACAAACAGGGAGGGTCTATGAGTGAAGGCTGCTCAGACCTCTGAAGTGCTTTCTCATGCAAGACTCTCTCCTTTGCTCACTCCACTCAGCTGACTGAGTAGATAATAAGAGTCAGGAGGTGGCCAGATTACAGCAGCAGCTGATCACTTTATTATTCACACAGAAGGGTGCCAGAGCAGAAGTACCAACAGAAAAACACACGACACACTTTCATTCATTATGGTGGCTGTACAGGCAGTTCCTCTCTCTCACCTTTATGTTCTCTAAATGGTCAGTCAGGAGAAGATCCACTAAATAACAGACATAGTGAAAGAACAAGAGTGTGTTTAAGGGATTCATGTCCTGGTTCAATCTGTGCCTGCCTAAGAAGATTGTACTGTAATTTCTCTCATTCCTGGTGTCTGTCCTGCACAAATTATCTGTTAGGATCCGTTCGCACCAGTCAGTGTGCGAACGAGGAAAGAGGCGGACCCAGGTAGCCGGCTTCGGTGCATACAGTGATTTATTAAATACAGTGAACAAGGGAATGACAAAAACAGAGGGAAATGATACGTAGTCCTGTAGATAAATAACCGGGTGTCTGACCAACCGCAGGAGGTGAGGAGATGAAGAGCTGGGCCGAGCTGCGTAGGTGGGGTCACTCCTGGGCTGGTCGACAGTGCTGGTGGTTACTGAAGGTAGGGACAGAGAGATGAAGGCAATAGTGGAAAAAGATAGGCGACTGTGCATTGACCTGCCTGGGAGGAGAGAGTGGAGTCACGGTCTGGAGGAACAGTCCTTCGGGGAAACACAAAACAGTAGCTGGCTACGGGAATAAATACATACAAAAACAATGATAACGCATGGAGTAAAGTTGGCCTAATGACTAGAAAGAACTGGCAAGTGACTGAGGAGTGAAACCAGGTAATATAGTGAGTGACCTAATCAAGTGCAGCTGGTGATAAGGGAGTGAGGAACAGGTGAACGTGATAAGAGTAATGGGGCAAGAGACAGTAGGAAAGGTGAGGGAGGCAGAGCGGCCGAGCAAACCTGACATTATCAGTATTACTGCCTCTTGTCTTTTCTCCTTTGGACCTGTAACTCTTTTAGTCTTTTTATCTCTGTCTTGGTCTGGCTGTGGTTTACCCTCCCACCCCCAGATCCATCCATCTGGACATGTGTGCTAATACTGTCATTGCATCAGGGAGGGTAACAGCGTATTAGACAGAGCTTGGTGGTAGTAAGGATCAATTATGATCAATAGGGTTAGTCTAATGGACACTGAGAGTATCAGTGATTCCCCATTGTCTGCTCAAAGGTCCCATCATTTGTGACTCCTCACACATGCACACTATCTCTCTCAAACACACACACACACATAGATACACATACCGTTTCTGTTCTGTCTCTGCTGATACAGCTACTGTGCAGAGTGAGCACTTTACAGCTGCCCATTTTCTACTGTGTGAAAGGTAAATACATTAGTATTTATAAGGGCCTACACATATGGGAAACAAGCTACTACTTCAGTGTCAACTGTAAGACAAAAACCTTGACATCACAAAAAGAGACACGTAGCCGTTTTTATTTCATCTCCACTTTCATTTTGGCTCAACACATGCTGAGATTTTTAGCGCCCAGACCATTGTATCAGCAACTATTCAATGTCCCTGTGTTTGCTGGGCAGCGCCAAAGTGAAAGTTGAGACAGCTTCAACAACCACTTCATCATACTTTGAAATTTAGATATATATTTGAGGTGGTCACACAAGTGAAACCTTAACACCTTCCTAGAGAGAGAGAGAGAGAGAGACTACTGAGAATGTACCCCATTATCGTCATATGTACATGATTGTAACATCTCGTTCCTCTCTGTGACGGTCAGCTTATCCCCCAGCTACTTAGTGTAGCCTTTCAAATAAGAAGCTATATACACAGCTGATTTCCAGAGTTGCTGGACAGCATGTCATACAAACCAGGTTCTTTCCAGCATAACCCATACCTTATGTTAAAAGAGGCATGTTGTGCTGCTAGTGTCTAATGCAGCCTTGAACCACTAACTTCGAGCGAAGATGAACAGCGGGCTGCAGA